ACTATAAATTAGAATATTTTATACAAGAAGGGCAAGGCATTGGGCGAGGGGGTTAATATTCATCTTTTGTCTTCAAATTTCAATCAATCCATGGTTGGTAATGATAAAAAATTGCTATCCAATACCTGTACAGTGGGTTATGACTGGCTCCATCCAGTGTATGTACCACAAAATTCACAAGAGGACCATGTAAAGCATCAAATAAAACTCCCAACAGCAGCAGAATTTCACTCTCTTTCCTCAAAGATAGGTTTACTGTTCAAAACCTTAACAATCCATCACAAATCTACACTGCTAAGTCTGGTTCTCGTGCCTACCTTCTACTAAGTCTCTTCCACCTGTCCATTCAGCATGTACCTCTAGCCAGGTGTTCCACCTACTTTGTATATGGACAGGTCCTTTTCTGTGTCTCTTGCAAGTGTCTTCCTGCTCCCTGCAGGTTTGTCTAACAAACTGAGCTGTTTACTGGTTTTCTTATCTGATTACCAGATGACCTACAGTCTCTCACCTGTTCTTTAGCCTCAAACCCATTTTCCATCACATGGGATGTTGCAAATTAGTCATGGTTTGGCCTAAGGCCAGCTCCCTTAAAGGGCCATCCCACTATCAGGCAGCACCACTGTTGATAACCTCCACAATGAGAAGGGATATATCGGCCATGAAGATTAAAACTCCCCGGTTACGTCTACACTGCAGGTTTCTTGCACAAGAAAGGCCATTCTTGCGAAAAAACTTGAGTGTCCACACTACAAGCCCATTGTTGAGCAAGTAAGTTTATAGTAGATCATCAGAAGAAATGGCTTTTTGAGCAAGAGTTATTCCTCTCCCCACAAGGAATAAACTTTTTTGCAAAAGAGCTCTTGCACAAAAAGGCTAGTGTGGACGGGAACAGGGGTTTCTTGCGAAAGAAACCCCTATGGCTAAAATGGCCAACGAAGCTTTCTTGCACAAGACAGCTCCACACTGCCATGGACGCTCCTGCGCAAAAACACATCTCTTGCACAAAAGCACATGGAAGCATGGATACGCTCTTGCGCAAGAAGCCTGCAGTATAGACATAGCCCCCTTCTAATCATTATAAAGAAACAGTCCCTTCCAGGGAAGAGGCAGAACAGAAGTTTGTGCAGCCTGTGCCTTACACGCTCTGAATAAATGGAAGGATTCATAAAAAACAGCCTTACTGAATGCCCTAGAAACTAACCAAATATCTCCAAACACCACCTAAAACACAGTAAACCATGTTAGTAGCAATTCCTCCATCAATTTCCCTCTCACCTCACCAACTGGCCGAGATCTTCAACAGAGAAAGCATATCACTGTATCTAGGGATGTTAGAAAACGAGTTATTAATTGTGTAATCAACAGAGTTTCTCTTAATGACACGATTAACTGACAAGGGAGGAAGCCTCAGTCCTGGCTTGTGCCGGGTTTGGGAGCTACTCCCCGCTGTGGCTCTGCAGTTTACATGTACTAAGAGCTGAGCAGGCTGGCAGTGGGGGCTAGCTCCCAAACACAGTGCAAGCTGGGACTGAGCAAGGCAAGGAGGATGCAGAGCAACCCCTCCCTGCAATGAGCAGCAGCCTCTCCTGCCGCTCACCATACTGCGGGAGGTAGGGGACAGGCAGCATTGCAGAGACGGTGCTGGGGGAAACTGGTTTTTAAGCCCGCTCCCACCCCCACTGCCTCTGATACAGAGGCAGCAAGACGGGAGGGGAGGGAGAATGTGAGTAGTCGAATAGCTCGACTACTCACATCCTTAGCTGTAACCCACTTCTAATTCAGAACACACAGGCATCAGCATAAGTTACTTGCTTAAATATAGAGAGCTAAGCACACAAGTACTAATTTGATTTCTTTTTTTTTTAAATCTGTCTAGTCCAACAAAATCTAGCTGAGGTATTATTCTGTGGCCTAAAGCACTGTTTCTCAACCCTTTTATATTAAGTACCCCCTTCTTTAAAAAAATAAATAAAGTACCCCCAGTACCTACAGTTTTCAGACACACATTTTTTTTCTACCATTGCAACACATTTGTTTCAACAACTTAATCGTAGCCGGGTGGGCGATGAAATTTTTGGGTGTAAAAAGTACAAAAATAATAAAGTACTGTAAAACTTAAAACAAAAATTCAGTTTTCTCCAAATCTCAGTTATGTCGAGTATGTCAACACACCTAAAGGTACTCATACCACTGGTTGAGAAACACTCGCCTACAGCATCTATATGAGGGTTTCTTGGCAGACACAGTGTGAACATATATAGAACAAAAACTTCATCCACAAATCAAATGAAAACCAATATAAAGACAGGCCACAAACACAAAGGAGTACAAAAATAAATCTGTCGGTGTAACCATAGACCTAAACCAACCCCATGTTACCTTTGTTTTGCTGTTAGTAAGAAAAACGGTCTTGTGGGCTAACCACAAGACCTGTCAGAGACCTGGTTTCTATTCCTTTCTCTGCCACTGAGTTCCTGTACGTAATTAGGGAAGTCACTCAGCTACCTCATGAATTTAACAATTGCAATACAAATTGAATCTCCCTGGTCTATCACCCTTAGGGCCCAACTACTCCAAACCAGAGAGTTTGCCAGACCAGGATGAGATCAATGCCAGCCCCTCTTCTATAGCCCAGGCTCTGCTCTCAGCTCCCCCTCTTCCCTCAGCTGCAGCTTGTGCTCTTTCTCTTGTCTCCCTGAGCTTAAACACTGCAAGTAGCTGATCTGCAGCACTCTAGAAGCTCTGGAAGGACAGAGAAGGAGTTGCTAAGTGCAAGGACAGAGGTGCGCATTGGGAGGAGTGGGGAGCTTGAAGTAGATTTTTCACTATGAATGCTCCAGCCCTGGAGCACCCACAGAGTCTTCAATGATGCCAATCAAGAGATGTTGCTGAATGAGGGAATCCTGAATTAGAGGGTCAACGTCTATAAGAAACAACAAAGTAAGCTCATTAATGTTTACTAGAACAAAAAACAGGACTATGTAGCACTTTAAAGACCAACAAGCTGGTTTATTAGGTGATGAGCTTTCGTGGGCCAGACCCACTTCCTCAGATCAAATAGTGGAAGAAAATTGTCACAACCATATATACCAAAGGATATAATTTTAAAAAAATGAACACATATGAAAAGGACAAATCAAATTTCAGAACAGAAGGGAGAAGGGGAGGTAAATGTCTGTGAGTTAATGATATTAGAGGTGATAATTGGGGAAGCGATCTTTGTAATGGGTAAGATAATTAGAGTCTTTACTCAAACTTAAGTGTAAAGTGTCGAATTTGAGCATGAATGACAGTTCATAGGATTCTCTTCAAGTGTAGTCTTAAAAGGCCTTTGAAGCAGGATGCAGGTAATCAAGTCGTTGAGACAATGTCCTTTCTGGCTGAAATGGCAAGAAACTGTTTTTTCTTTGTGATCCTATTTAATATCTGTTTTGTGGGCATTGATCCTTTGGCAAAGTGTCTGAGACATTTGTCCAATGTACATTGCAGATGGACACTTTCAGCACATGACAGCATAAATTATATTTCTGGATGCACAAGAATATGTGTTCTTATAAGTTATAAGCTCTTGGCCTTGTCACCAGACCTCTCTATCCCTGGGTTCTATGGCCCAATAACATCCGTAGTCCTGTCAGACCAGGGATGTTGCCGGACCAGAGAATACAGGTTTAGGGAAGTACAACCTGTATTTTGTAAAGGAACCAAGTATAAATTATATTTCACAAGACAGCAAGTAAAGACTCTTGTCTACTCTCTTATAGTTTCTAAAACTATAAAGGTTAAAACAATCTTCAAATTTCAAAAGTGCATTATGAATCAACAGACATGAAAGATCAAGACAACTACATGGAATATAAGTGATGTAATATACCATATTGGAACAGATGAGTGCTTAATATTGGATTTATCAGTCATACTACTGGAGGTATGAAGTACTTTGTAAGGAACAAGCAGAAAACATTTGTGAATAAGGCTAAAAATTAAGCATTCCTCTTTTCTCCTCAAGGCTAAAAATAAAACTTGTTTTTAAAAAATTCACTGTACTTATGTTTTATGTAATTACATTATCATAGCAATGCCCCAAGTCCAAACATCAGAAAAACAGGCAAAACTGGAAAAAGAAAGGAGATAGTGTCAGTATTAGGAATGTAATAGTGTAGTGGAGGCTTATGTATTAACTCTACCAGCTACACACAACACTCCCCTCCCTCCTCTGCATTTTAAGTATTTTTGGGAGCTGGTGTGCAGGCACACTGGCTTCATTCCAGCTCATGCTGCCAGATCCCAGTAGCGAGGGTAGCTGCTGGGACTCAGCATAAACCAGGACTGAGCCAGCATGTCTGCCCACCAGCTCTCAAGCTCCTTTTAAATGCAGAGCTGCAGTGGTGGTAGCATGAGCCAGCATGCCGGCTCTCAAGCTCCTTTAAATGCAGAGCTGCTTATTGGTTAAACTTGTAACCAACAAAAATGTTATCTGCTACATGATTACCAACTTACATACTTTCTAACATCCTAGTCAATATACAGACTTTAAAATACTGACACGAAAGTGAACAGACATGACCATTAGGGATGTGAATGCTTAAACTGGTTAACCAGTGAAGGTTGGAGCAGCTCCCCACCTGCAGCTGGCTGGAGAAAACCATCCCTGCAGCAGGCCTGGACACCCCACAGGCCTTTCCAACCAAGATGCCAGAGCAGCCCCTGCCTGCAGGGCACCCTGGCCCACCACAGGCAGGGGCTATTCCAGGCCAGCTATGCAGCCTCTATCCGCTGCAGCCCTGCCAATGCAGAACCTGCCTGCGGGGGGTTGTGGAGGAGAGCTGCAGACCAGCAGCAAGGGGGTGCTTTAAATGGGATAATACATCCCTAATCACCATTATTACTTTTAACCTTATTCTGAAATATACAAAGCATTTATGAAAAACACTGACGAATTAAATCAGTAAAATGGCCACAAAAATGTAATGATAGCAATACTGTGAATTTAAAGCACTTACTTTAACAAAATTGTCAGGGAACATGCCCCTTTTTCCATTCAGCTCCCCTTCTAACCATCCTTCCTCTTCTAATATTTTCACATTTCTGATGATTTCTCCAACTCGAATTGTTAACTCATCATCATGTATGGCATCATAGTCATACTCCACGATATAGTCAACTAAGAGAAGGAAGAAAGAAGTAGTTAGGCATGTGGAAATATGAAACATCTTAATTTTATGCGCGGCAGAAAGTGATTTATACAGAAGGCTGTGAGTCTTTCACAAAGGTCATGAAAGTCACAACTTCTATGACTTTCATGTCTTTCTGGGACCTCCGTGACATCTGCAGAGACTGGTGTGGCTGGCTCAGAGTCTAGTTGACCAGGCCTTGGGCCAGCCACTATGCCATTGCTGGGGCAGTCTCGGGCCACTGCACCCACTTCCCCCAACAACAGCTGGAGTATGGGTGTGGGAGGGGCTCAGGGTTGACAGTTGGGGAACCAAGGACAATGGAAGCTGCAGAGGTGGTGTCTGTATACGGTGACAATGCGCAGAGGTAGGAGCTAAGAGACACATTGATGCTTCAGAGGAGCCTGGTAGGGAACCTACCAGCTTTGCCAAATGAATCTCACCCTGGTATCCTCTGTGCCATTCCCACCCCCAGCATCCATGGCACCCCAAGTCATCTCCCCAAAGATTCCACTGGGGTATACGGTACAAGTCACGGACAAGTCACAAGCTATACATTTTTGTTTACTACCCTGTGACCTGTTCATGACTGTCACTTAAAATACCCATAACTAAAACAGTCTTATGATAGATCACACAATAAAGAGTTCTTTTGACCAATTTTTGGTTGTACAAGTGGTTTTATAAACGCTCATGTGAATGTGCTATTGTCTCCTACGTAGGGATGTAAGCGAGTAGTCGACTATCCGATAAGCTTACGCTTATCAGATAGTCCTCTAGTGATGCAACTAGTTGCTTCCCCCCCTCCCCCCCCTTGCTGCCTCTATCGGAGAGAGACAGCAGGGGCCGGTGCTGGGGGATAACCAGCTTACTAGCTGGTTCCCCACAGAACTATCTCCGTGGGGGGCAAGAAAGGTAGAGGCACAGCGGGAAACGGCATGAGTGGGGACTGAAGCAGTCTCCGCTGGCCCTGTGCTCCCTGCTGGGCTTCTGCTTTTGAACTGTAGCAAAAGCCCGGCAGGGCTCTTGTTATAGTTTAAAGGCAGAGGCGCCTTTATCGACTAATCAAATAGTCAATGGAAATCCCATTGACTATTCGATTAATCTAAATTTAACATCCGTTCTCCTACACATTTAAATTTTATTATGTGCCTAAAAATAACAGTTCCTGTACAAAATTTACACTTCTTTGAAAGTTTGGGTCAAGAAATATTAATCACAGTCAGAACAAGTACATGGCTTTCAACAGCAAGCTTCATTTGCACCACACACAAGAGCACATTGCACCTAAGTTTATTGTAAGCTGTATGCCTGCACAGCAGTTTATCAAGGGTTGAACAGGTGCCTCTCCCCTGGGGCCAAGAGCTGCTCATGGCTTCTTTAAAAAAAAAAAAAAAAAATCAGCTGACTTATTTGCCTAGATGTAAACATCCACTAACAGTATTAGTCAAATTTTGGACTTGTATAGTGCCCACCTACCATCCAAAGAAAATGTAACCTCACTTCATCTCTTCAAAATAGACAAGTACATTCCAATCCTAAACATGGAGGAACTAAGGCTTTTGAATATCAAGTGACTAACCCAGCATCCAACAGAAATCATGTTTTACAAGAAAAAGGAGAATTACCTCCCTCGGTCTAAGAATGATTGAAGAACAATACTATCTCAATAGTAAACATTGATTTCTTAAAGAAAATCCCCACTGCACTATAAAAAGATACAACAGGTTGGGTAGAATTGTAATATGAATATTTTGTTTATATATTTGGTCACTAAAGTGAGATTTTCACACAGGAGCCAAGTAACCCAGGCACTCATTTGTATGCAGTTTAGTCTTTGGTGAAATTTGACAACTGTTAAACAGAAGCAATGCAAAAGATCATTTTTAGAAAGGGTCAGTGATCAGCTCTACCAAACCATTATGATGCCATCACTAATGTTACGTTTTGTTTTGCACTTTAAGGAGTTTGATTTGATTGTTTTGTAGGAAAAACAGTATATCTGTCCCAAATTTTCAGCCCATAAACACGGAACAAAGTTTGAATTTTCTGGGACTTTTCAAGAGAAATCAGTTAATTAGTTTCCATATTCTAATATCTTAAAAATTGGACACAAGCAAGTTCACATTCTGAGTCTCATGATTTTTCAGGCACCTTTTTCAGAAAATCCAAAAAGCAAATATTTGTCAATAGCAAGAGTTGGATGGGCTTACAAGGGATATGCAATCATTTTGTTAATTAAGAGAGAGAGAACGTAGTATTCTTCACCAAAAATGAATCCTCTTATGTTATAGTTACCCAACAGATAATGTGGTGCCTGATAGGTCAACTCCAGCCATCACTTACAGCTGGGACCCTGTAAGCCAGTATTGGGAACCTGTGGCCCATCAGAGTTCTGCGTGCCCACAAGACATTTTGCTAACTGCTGCCCAAACATAGGGTTTCCTGATTCTGCTGGCTTCCATCCACATAATTTTTTCCCTCCAGTGTTACTAAAGTGACATGCACAGAAAGCAAGGACACGTGAAGTAAAGTGTATGCTGATAGCACAGAACACTGACTATGAGCGCAGTGTGCTCCCTCCGCATCCAATCAAAATGCTGCTTTGTTTCAATCGGCACACCCCACAAATTCTAAATATGCAAGCGCTCTTAGGCAAATTAGGCTATTCCAGGAAATAGTCTTCGTTATGACAGTCTTATGATCGAGATGAAAGATGGCCAATCATGCAGCCCACTCACTAGCCTAGCTTGCCTTGCTGTAAGTTCTCTAAGGTAGATATCGCTTTAGGTGCCTTCCAAGTCCATTCCTTATTAGTACACCAAATTGCAAATCTGTTTTGTTTTAAAATTCTCTAACTAAAGTCCCTTTAAATCAAAACAAACAGTATCATTGAGATGCTCAGAAGGAACAGCACATTCACTAGCAGCACAATAAGTTATTTACCCATTAAAATATCGAATGTATGCAATGCCTTGTTGCAATATAGGTTGAACATCTCAAATCCAAGACTCTCTGGTCCAGCAATGGAACATAGATGTTGCTGGATCGAAGAGTCAGAGGCCAAGAGCGGGAGCCACATGGGAGTCCTGCAGCGACTGGGGAGCCCCAGTGAGCCCCACAGAGCAAAGGGGAGCCCAGGAACGGGGCTGGCAGAAGAACACTGACCTCCCCTGTTCCAGCAAACTCCCTGGTTCGGGATCCCTGAGGTCCGGAGGATGCTGGACCAGAGCGGTCCCACCTATAATTATCAAAAACAAATTGGCAGTCCCTCTTGAAGACAGAGAGAGAGAGAGAGAGAGAGAGATTTACTACCTTTCTGAAAGCCACCCAGATCCAAAAATATTTTTAAAAAGGCACAAACTTACAGTTTCTTTACTTTTCAAGCTCAATTCTTACTCATGACAGTGCCTAGCATTTTTGCCTTTTAATATGCAAGATCTATGAAGTAGCAGCCTGACTAATGGATAAGCTTCCCACTTTGATTAAATACTTGAATATACAATATTCTTGCACTGACTTTCCAACAAACGAGCAGGGGAAAGGGGATTAGAATTTAAGGTAATTGTTATTTTTCCAATATTGTGGTGTTCTCTAAGGTGTAACATTTACTATCCCAATTATTTAATTGGGCTACAGGTATTTTAAGCCCTATGTACTTTAAATTTATGTAGTCTATACATTTTTATAAGGGTGCTGTTATATGTTTTCTAAGTCACTAATACCAACATGTTCTTTTTTAATATTGGACACATTGTGGTTCTGGTTGGTGACCTAAATGATTCCATTAAAGTATTCAATGAATTTTCTCAAGCATCTTATTTTACAGTCCCATGTGACATGCAGCTGTACAGTAGCTGGCCAAGTTTGTGGCAATTTAACATTAACCACAGTATCTCTCTCAAGAACAACTTTCCATTGCTCAGCCATCAGGATCTTAAGAGTCAGTTCTCAGACGACATGATCCCTAGCCAACTCTATTCACTGACTTAGTGATAAGGCAGAATGAAGTTCTGCTTTTTTTGGATGTCTGCCACTCTTCCCCTGCTCTGTCTGCGACTAGCTTGATACATCAACACCCACCCTTCCACAGGCATTTTCTGTTTATGCCAGCACTTCCTCTTTCAGTGACAGCCTGCCCAAAAAAGAAAAATTAAAACCAAAAATAGAGGACTAAAAGCTAGACAATTCAAAACAAGCAACTTAAATTCAGTTGCTCTAAAGTAGGGGCGGGCAATAATTTTTGGCCGGAGGCAGAGCCGGCCCGAGTCATTCAAGCCCGCCTGGCCCTGAGAGTGCGGCACCGCTCCCGGGAGTGCGACGCGTGCGGTGCCCCCTGCCCCCGGGCGCCCAGCCCATGCACAGCCCCACCCTGAGCTTCTGAGTGCATGCGTGGCCCCGCCTCCAGAGCGAAGCACATATGTGGCCCCGCGCAGCGCCCCCTACAATTGGGTACCCCGGGCAGTAGCCCAGTCAGCCCATAGCTTGGGCTGGCTCTGGCCAGGGGACACTTCAAAAATGTTTGAAGTAGCCCCAGGCTTCCCCGGAAGGGGCAAGGTCAGGATGCTTCTGGACTTTCCCACCCACAGACCATGATTGGGCTACAGATATTTTAAGCTCTACGATTGGTCTGTGGGTGGGGGAGCCACTTTGCCCCCCCCCCCCTTCTTGCCCTGCCAGGGGCATAGGTGCTTAGTGGGAAGAGGCTGCACACACTCCCCCACCCCCAGGCCAATTAGGGTCTGGGGGAAAGGGAGTGCACGAAGCTTCCTCTGCCCTGCCCCCATCCTGCAAGGAGTGCACAGCACTTTGAAATGCCATGTGCTCATCGCAGGGCGGGGATAGGGGGGGAGGAAACTTGGTGTGCTCCTCCCACCCCCAGGCCAATCAGGCTTTGGGGGCGGGGGAGCATGTGAAGTCTCCTCCCACCCTGCCAGGAGCATGTGGCTCTTCAAAGTGCTACATGCTCCTGGCAGGGCAGAAGAAACTT